CACTGAGTTAAGTGACTTTCATCAGGTTATGAGCGCCCAAATCGCTGCCGGTGCGAACGAAAGTAATAGGAGCACAGCGCCATTGGCAAATGGGTTGATGGGACAAGCTGTGAATCCTACGAATCCAGTTCCTGGAATGGGAGTGGAATCGAGCTCAGTGAGCTTTGCTGGAAGCTATGGTGCTGTGCAACAGTCGGGGTCAATTCCAGGTGATGTAGGCGATGTTGCAGCGAGACCTGGTGCAAGACACATTTCGACATCTGCAAGCGTAGAAATAGCTGGGCCACGACAGGAAGGAGTGATGTCTGGATCCTGTTTGGGTGAGGAGCAGGGGGCTGCATTAAACGTGGCTCCGGTCCATCAGCCTGGGGTGGCCAAACCATGGGCAAGCTCAACAAGTTACGCCAAGAAGGTTTCTGGGAAGAGTACAAAGCATGACTGCATGGTCGTCAGGGTTGGAAGCAGCGCCGACAGGATTTCGCTGGATGACACGTCTGGGAGAATTTATCAGATCGAGGGCTGAGTTAGTTCCCAGTCCTTTCCCAGGAGCTTCTCCAGAAAGGCCTTCAGAGTTTACAACTCCTGCTTCGCTGAGACCGGCTACACCGCCAAGGGTGTCTGGATTGCCAGGGTTCCTAGGGTCTAACCTATTTAATAATGATCCTCCAAGTTCATCCTCAGGTGTTCCCACGGAGGTCATTCAAGAAGAGGTTCAGCGCCAACTTAGGGGAATACTTGATAGGTTAGAGATAACGGAATCCCACAACCAGCACCTTCAGCGACAGCTAGAAGCTTAGCAACAAGCACATGCGGCAGCAGCAGTTGTTCAAGCTGGAGTGGGTCAGCACAATTCAGTGGAGCAGTCAACTTCGCAGTCATGCCGATTGCAGACTCATTCTGGGAATTCAGTCGGGCAACTAACTACCTGGACGGCCGGTATGCCATCTACTTCTCGGGTTGATAACATTGAGGGTGATACGCATGGACCGCAGCTAACTCAAGCTGGCTCGGGGGAGACTAGTGCCTTAGGAGGACCTCAAGGGAATACCCCGCCGGTGATAGGAAGACCCGAAGGGATTACCTCAGGGATGGGGATTAGCGTAGGCCAACCTCAAGGGACTACCTCAGGGCTGGGGATTAGCGTAGGCCAACCTCAAGGGACTACCTCAGGGCTGGGGATTAACGTAGGAAGACCCGAAGGGACTACCTCAGGGCTAGGCGATGCCTTAGGATACCTCCAAGGGCTTACTCCTGGGCTAGGATATACGCATAGGGATACCTCAGGGATGAATGCAGGCCTTGGCCATTCACAAGAGAGGGCATCATCAGTCATTACGGCAGCTGGAGGAAGACCGGGTCCAAGTGCGAGTGTAGGATATCCCCAAGGGCATACCTCAAGTATAGGAAACCCTCAAGGGAGTCCCCCCGCAGCGTTGCCATGTCCATTGTTAGGAGATGAGCAAGGGCCTAGTATGCAAGTTGGGGAAAGGCATGGGACTTCGCTTCTCGATGCGTTGTCGCAGAGTGTGCAACAACTTCAAGATCTCCAGGCCAAGGCCTTAACTAAGGATGCCGATAGCCCTACTTCTCCGGAGAATGTGAAACCAGGGTCAGCGTCATTGCCTAACCTCCAACCCCCTAAGGATGAAACCTCCTCCCTGCACTTTCAAGATTGGATTGAGATTTCTACCATTGTGATGAGTGATCTATCTGACAATAGTGCTCGTTGGTGGTCGCGCTTGCTTGAAACAGTAGATGAAGCGTACTCTAGGTACCTAGCAGCTACCCCAATAGAGAGATTGTCCATTAAGCCGCTGGATGCTGGTCTAACGACTGGTAAGTGGACTCGTGTGAATGCCAGGGCGTGTTCCATGTTGCTCAGTGCGATTGATGAAGGTATCAAGCAAGATCTGGTGGCGCGGAGAATCACTCAAGACATGGTGCATTCGATCTTCAGGTTGTACATTGCGTATCAGCCGGGAGGGTCAGCAGAGAAGGGCCATGTTCTGAAGCAGTTGCAGAATCCACCACTTCCAGGTAGTATTCAAGATTGCCTTGCAGTGCTTCGGAGCTGGCCGCGGTGGGTCAGAAGATGTAGACAAGTGGGCATGGTTACCCCGGACCCCACTGTGCTTGCAGCGAGTTTGACAAGGATTTCTGCACCCTTTATTCTTCAGTCTCCAGACGCAGGGTTTAGAACACAGCTCCTTCGTACCACGTTGAGATTAGAGGCGTCTCCAACTGCTGAAGCCGTTGAGTCATATCATAGCCATCTTTTGGCAGAGATTGAGATGATCGTTTCTTCTACGACCGTAGGAAAAGCAAAGCCGATGCTTCAGGCTGTGGAGGGGCAATCGTCGACATCTCCCACGTCAAGTCCATCACGAGGTGCGAAGGGCGAGGCCTTGTGCAAGTACTTTGTCAAGTCTAGTGGATGTCGCAGAGGTCCTAAGTGCCCGTTTTCTCATGACATGAGTCAGATGCCAAAGGATCCGAAATCCCGGAAGTGCTTAACATGTGGAAGCGAGGAACACCGCAAGAGGGAGTGTCCAGTCAATGATTCTGGTGCCAAGGGTACTGGAAAGAGAGACGAAGGGTCTACAAAGGGCAAGACCTCGACAGGAAGTGCCTCTACATCAAGTGCCCCCCAACCTCAACCAGTTGTCGCCGCTCAGACTGTAGATCCATCAGAGCTTCTAGCACGAACGTCTCTCGAGGATGTGAAGGCCGACAGCGCTACGGCACCAATGTCCATTGAGAGTTTGATTAAGATTGCGCAGCAAATTGTTCAGGGGCAGGGATCACAGGCAAGTACAGCTCAGGCTTTACCAGACTCAACTTCAGCTTTGAGGGTGATGACGGTGGTGAATCCTTTGAGGAATAGCCTCGGGAATGTGATCGAAGCTACAGCATTGGTCGATTCAGGCGCAACGCATCCGCTTAGAAGGGCGAGCTCTAGTGATGAGTGGCGGCGTTCCCGGGCGGTCGCCGTAAACCTTGCTGGAAATAGAGCTGTAGAGATGAAAATGACAGACTCAGGAACCTTGTTGTTGCCTGAATCCGACACGGGTTCTACTACCATTGTACCTGTGGGAGATCTGGTCCAAACACTTGGATACCGTCTGGACTGGAATAGGAAACAATGTCGCCTTATTGCTCCGGATGGCAAGGCCCTGAGATTGTCCATGAGGGATGGCTGCCCGCAACTTCCTGAATATCAAGCACTAAGTCTAATCAGCCGATTAGAAGAGCGCAAACTTGATCAGTTGAAGCAAGCAACCATGCAAACCCAGGAGGTCGTAAGAGCAGCGGCGTTGTCCATGAAGAAGTCGTGGTTCCAGCATGTGGTTGAGCATTGTCATGAGAGCAGTGTTCAGGCAGGCAATCGGGCCGTGGATGCTGCACCCTTCTTGGAGGGCTTGCCGTGGGAGACCAAAACTGGGTTGACCGTTGATCATTCTGCAATCAATGGATGGGAGTTGCTTAAGGAGTTCACATGTTGGTCCAGGTCGTATAGACGGCGCCTACACCAATCCAACTCATGGATCATTCATCTCTACTCTGGTAAATGCCCTAAGGAGGAGTTCAAGGAGCTGTGTAGCGGTAGCAGCGTGGTATTAGAGATTGACATACAATCCTCATCGCAGCTTAATGTTGAGAATGAGCAGCTGTGGAGGTTGTTGTCATGGGCGTGTGCTAATGGCAAGGTCTCAGCAATACTGGGAGGGCCGCCCTGCCGAACACTCTCTAGGCTACGTCACAGAACTCCAGGTCCACCTCCGGTAAGAACCAGGAAGTATCCCTATGGCTGGGATACCCAGTCAGCGAAGGACCGGGCAGAGGTGATCAAGGACACGAGACTGTTCATCCGTATGATTTGGCTACACACCCTGGCGGTAGCGGGGAGGATAGCCCATCCCTTTCCAGGGCGTGAAGGAGATCCATCTGTCGCATTTGTGTTAGAGCAGCCAGCGGATCCTCAGTCTTACTTGAATAAGAACGATCCAGCGTATGCCGAGGTTGCAAGCTTCTGGGCGACTAAGTTATGGCAAGTCTATGCTCAGGAGGCAGGACTCATGAAGATTTCCTTCCACCAAGGAGCAATGGGGCACATAGCACCTAAGCCTACTTCCTTGGGTACCAATCTTACAGAGTTGCTCAGTCTGGAAGGAATGAAGGAGTCCTCACCTTTGGACCCCTACATTGCACCGGGTATGTGTCGAGCAATTTCATTGGCTTTGCGGCGGTGGTTGGCTAGACCTAGGGTGACAGCACTTACTAAGGAGCAGTGGGCCAAGCGTGTTGAGAGTGGCCATCAGCCATATGAAAAGACATGTGAAGTGTGCGTCACTTCCTCAGGCACTGGGAAACGTTGTCAGCTGACCTGAGCGGTCCCATGCGTGAGGGAGGTGCAGATGTCAACGGTCGTGGCGCACACCCCAAGCCCCACAAGTACTTATTTGTGGCCAAATTGAGACTTCCTGAGACGTACTTGCAGGGTTACTCAGCCGGGAAGCGTGATCTGTCCCATTCTTGGCAGGAGAGCTGGGTGTCCGAAGAGCTGGAGCCAAACGATGGCCTCAGGAATGAAGCGTCATTGGAGCCGGTCACTCTTGGACCAACTGCTGATTTGCAACTTGATGCAACATCCTTGGAAGTACATACCTCAGATGCGTTTCTTGGGGATGAGTTTTCCGGGGAGCTATGTGATGTAGATCCTGTTGCTGCTGGGGATGGTGGTGGTTGGGACGCTGCCGCGGATCGGCCATTGCAGGATCCACGTGAGGCCCTGGGATTCAGCGAGCTAGATGAAGGGTTGGTTCCAGAGTTTCAGGAGGAGCACCGTTCGGTAAGAGGAGAATCTGTAGTGGATGAGGCAGACATGTTGGCAGAAGAGGAAGCAGACCTAGGTGGTGAGGAGGAGAAAGCACCCAAGGAGGAGCGCTCAGACCTTTCTCCCCCTAAGATGGCCCGAATGATCTTCTCAATTCCGCTCCCAGATGCGAAGTCAGCAACTGTCAAAGAAGCTCTCCAAGATGTACTCTTATATTTGCGTGCGCATAACGTACCAGTTTTGCGTTTTCACTCAGACCGCGGTTCAGCCTTTATGGCGCGGGACATGCGTCAGATGCTGAAAAGTTGGAGCTTGCGGGTCACCGCCAGCGAGGGAGGCGTCCCTCAAACGAACGGGGCAGCAGAACAAGGAGTAAGGTGGCTGAAGCAAAGGATCCGTGCATTGCTTGCTGGAGCCAATCTTCCTCTCAAGTTATGGCCCAGCGCGGCCGACGCCGCGTGTGTGATGCAACGTTCTGCCCTGACAGGTATGCCATCAAAGCTTGCCGCCCCCTCCGGTGCAGTCGTGCGTGTCAGGAAGAGACCGTACACGGGCGCAGGCACCACGGCAAAGCCTGACAGTTTGAGGACGCAATGGGTGAGGGGCCATTACCTTGGTCTTTCTAGCACGCTGAATGATGGACACGTCATCTATGTGCCCGCGGTAGATGACCAGCCAGAAGGGTTTATCCACACTTTTCATGTGAGGAAGTTGGTTCATCCAGGTCCCCTTGAAGATCAATATCATGAGCCAGAGCCTCCTGGACGACCAAGCCGCAGAATCAGAGGGAAGCAAAGTGTAGCTGTGAGACTGGAAGCCGCGCAACTGCAACAATCCATAGAGGATCCTCTAAGTCTGTTGCAACAAGATGCCGAGCATATCCTATTGAACTGGGATCATGATCGAGCGCTGGATGTGCTGGATAGAGCTTCTGTGTTGCTGAAGGGGTCAGACTTCAAGATTGGCGCCTATCGGCATGGGGGAGTTACGGGCCTGCTGAAGGGCACGGAGAAGTATCCATGGCTTTCTAGGCTGATGGTGCGGTGCTTTACCGAGCTCGATGATGATATCACCTTCACTGCGGTTTACATGTCCATAGACACCGAACGAGATGTTCATGTGGATAGACATAACCAAAGTGGATCAATGAATTACATAATCCCAGTGGTGGTACCCAGGAGTGGTGGTGGACTATGGGTAGAACTCGAACGTGATGATCAGGTTCTGGGTCCCGTGACAACCAAAATGGATGCGTCTGGGAAGCAGAGATTCGGAACTACGCGGCCATTGGAACGGGGGCGGATGATGCGTTTCGATGCCAGGCGACTACATGCTACAGAACCATGGTGTGGACGTCGTGTGGTGCTCATTGCTTATACCCCTGCATTGGTCCATAAATTAAATCCTCAAGATGTAATAAAGATGACCAGGTTAGGATTCCCGATCGACAATGACATGTCAGACGGCGAGGGCTTCGAGGAGGTGATCCCATCCAATGAGGGACCGCGCTTGGAGCGGGCTGGCGGGTGGTCAGAGACATTGCCCGCAGGTGGTACAAATTACCACTTTGATGTGTCTTGGAGGATTGGTCCTTCAGTGGCGATGGTTCAGTTCAGTGGAGCTGAGTGCACGGAGGAGTTCGAGAAGCATGCGATGATTCTTTCCTCAAGTGGAAATGACAGGTGCCTCGAGCCTGTAAAGAATTCAGAGTCAAGTACAGACACCGTGGTGGATCCAGGTGTGCATGTTGCTATGTACAGTGGCGAGGTGTTTCTCGACTTGAATGTTGGGGGTGATGATCCTGGTTTGGCTCAGCTATGTTTGGATGAGGAGGAGCAGTCAGGCCTGAGTAGACCGAGCGTGAGCAAGACTGAGGTGCTTTACACCAAGGACATAGAGAGTGTCATCAATTCCCTCACAGGACCCCCCAGGTGGTTCATAACGTGGATCCCAACGAAGTACTTCAGAATCTCGATGCTTGGATACCAGCTATTGAGAAGGAGCTGAAGGCCGTTGCTCATGCAGTGGATAAGATTCCTAGAGGTGATGAGAGGCATCGTGTCTTGCTTCGATCGGAAGAGGTGCAGAAGCTCCCATCGAAGCTAGTGTTCACTGGGGAACCTGGAGATAGTCCTGAGGCAGAGAACCGAGCTTCCTGGGTCAAAAGGAAGGTCCGACTGGTGGCCTGTGGAAACCTTGCGGCTGCATCAAGCATGGACACGTATTCGGGGACGGCGCCAGCCGAGGTTGTTAGAATTGCACTCGTCCTTGCGAATAAGTTCGGATGGATTGCTGGCGTTGTAGATATAGTGTCGGCCTTCTTACGGACACCGTTGGACGGAGACCGTGCACTTCAGATCGTGGTTCATCCTCCGAAGGTCTTGGAAAGGGCCCTTTTGGTTCCTGCAGGAGAGCTCTGGAAACTGACGCATGCCCTATATGGGCTTAGAGAAGCCCCTCATCTCTGGGGTTCTTACAGGGATGAAAGACTACGTCCATTGACCTTCGAGTGCCAGGGAGTCACTTACAAGGTAGTGCAGGGCAAGATCGAAACCTCGTGGTGGACAATCCAGGAGGAGCAGGGTGACGTCATCGGCGTCATGGTAATCTATGTAGATGACATCTTGATTTGCGCGGATATCCACATCGTAAGATCCCTTGCAGCTGCCATCTCGGGGTTGTGGCGCACTTCAGATCTTGCATTGGTTACCCAACGTTGCCCCATTAGGTTTCTGGGTTTAGAGATAGACATAGACGAAGCTGGAGTGTTTTGGGTGTCACAAACAGGGTTTATTAAGGAACTTCTTAGATCGAAGGCGGTACAACCACGAAGGAGGGATTTGGTTCCAATCACACGTGAGCTCTCAGCCTTGGAGTCGATTGGAGATGAACAAGATGACCCTGATGTGACGCGTGACGCCCAAGGAGCGACAGGTGAGATTTTGTGGCTATCTCAGCGAACACGGCCGGATCTGTCATACACTGCGTCAATAATGGCGACATTGTCTTCCAAATGTCCATCCAGAGCATTGCTGATAGCTGAGAAAGCCATTGGCTATGCGCAACGTACCATCAGTTACAAGTTGCGATTGGAAGCGACTACAAGGGCTTTGACCTTGTGCTCTGATTCGTCATTTGCTCCTGATTCGTCCAGATCTCATACTGGATGGGTCATTCTGTTGTACGGAGCACCGGTGCTTTGGAGAAGTTCACGCCAGGCGACAGTCAGTCTTTCAACAGCAGAGGCTGAGTTGAATGCAACTTTGGAAGGTAGTGTAGCTCTCCTAAGCATTGAGGCATTGCTCAAGGACGTGAAGGTGGTCTTCGAGGAGAAAGAAATTCTTACGGATTCAACTTCAGCCTTGACCATCGCATCTGGCTCCGGCTCATGGAGGACAAGACATTTGAGAATAAAATCGCAGTGGCTTCAGGAGCAGATTTCCCAGAATCAGTTCAAGATTGGTCATTGTCGTGGTGACAAGTTGGTGGCCGACTTGCTAACCAAGGCGTTGAGTTCTGGAAGGATGCAGTCGTTGTTGGTCCTGTGGGGCATGGATGTGGGTATGATCGAACCTCCATTGCTAGAAGCAGTTCCAGCAGCGCTAGAAGCAGAAGCAGCAGCTCACCCGCTAGAAGCAGAAGCAGCAGCTCACCCGCTAGAAGCAGAAGCAGCAGCTCACCCGCTAGAAGCAGAAGCAGCAGCTCACATGCTAGAAGCCGACACTTCAGCCTCAGCGCTAGAAGCAGGAGCAGCAGCTTACACGCTAGAAGCAGAAGCAGCAGCTCAAATGCTAGAAGCGGATATTCCAGCTCCAGCGCTAGAAGCAGAGCTAGAAGCGGTTGATCAGTCTGAGAGGCAACGTTCCGTTATCCCTAATCCCTCAAATCCTCCATATCTGATTAAGGCGCTGATAGCACTTCTTGCATTACTTCATGTTAGGGTTACCGAAGGGATGGAGCTGGCACCAAATTATGAAGAGTTAGCCCCTAGGGGACTGGCAGTTGACAACACCCTGCTGACAAGCATGTGGTTTATGCTAATGATTCTCTGTGGGGTGCTTGGCTGGGAGATGCTGAAGTGGTCGGTGGTTACAACGACTAGAAGGGCAAGAAGATTGATGAGGCTACGAGATCGGACTGCGGAAGTGGTTCAGCGAGAAGTACGTAGGCAATTGGCGGCTCGTGAGACTTCTGAATCGGAGCCTCTTGAGGAGCCTCGCGTAAGAACATCACCGGCTGCCAAATCCAAGGCACGAGCTGCGTCGTCTCGAAGAACTGCTCTGGAATCTGGCAACCGAACTCGGCTAGATGCAGTTTCAGCGTCTTCTTCAGCCCTCAGGCCGGAGCCTAGAGATAACCAAGAAGCTGAGCGTGAGGAAACGGTGGCTCGTGGACTGTTTCAACGAAGAAGGCGACAACCTCCTGTGGAGGCCTATGCTCAAACGGACCCTTGGGTGCCACAAGTGGAGGTGAGGGAGGTCCCTGTGAGGGTTGAAGTGCCAGTGGAAGTGCCGAGCAGGGAGTCGGCGTTGCTTGGAGACTTTGAGCATCTGCAGGAGACCTTCTTTGTAACCCAGTTTGGCGAGCACTATCATTGCGCTTCACAGTGTGATGGGCTTCGCAAGGCTCGCACCCAAGTACGTCCGATAACTCCGTGTTTGGCATGTCTCGGAAATATCCAACTTTTCAAGCGGAGACGTAGCTTCCGTAGGCTGACCCCATCAAGTACAGGATAAGGGGTGGGGAGAAGCTTACGCATTCCCCAAAAAAGAGTGCAGAAGTGATGGGGGCTTGAAAC